GAGCATGAGAAGCAGAGTAGAGTGAGAATAAAGATAATATATTTGCTATTTTGAGGTTGAGGTTAAGAAAATATTCAAATCTTGCCTCTCTCACTGCAGGCTGTGTGATCTTGGATAAAATACTCATCCTCTCTGTGCTTTAGTTTTCTCATCTGTAATTATTGCCTTGGCCTTGAATATGTTGTGAAGGCAACTTGAGATAATAACTATAAAGGATGCTGAATGATGTCTGGCAAACTGTAAGTGCTCCATCAACATTAATTATAATTATTTAAAAAGGCATGTAGGCATGATCAAGTCTGGATTTTAAGGGGCTTGCCCGGGTCTAGTATGCCTGGAATTTAAAGTGCTAGAGGGAGACTGATAATGATGGATGGTGGGAGATAAGACAAGTCAAATTGTGAAGATCCATGAATGCTCCTAGGCTAAGGAAATTTGGCTTCTCTGAACTGGGGAGTAAAGTTTCAATCAAGGTAGTAATTGGCTTAGCTTTGTGTTCAACACCATTCTGGAGACAGTGGAAAGAAAAGATGTTCTCCAGAACACAATCTAGTTTAGGTTAAAAGAAAACAATGGATCAATTGGGACCCCTGAAAAAGGAGATGTTCTCAGATGACTAGCTTGGAGTTCTCTGTTTCACCTATAGGAATGGATAAAGAAGTAGTGTGGCTAGTGCCTTATGGATCCTAACTCAAAGCTCCAAAGCCATCAACTGTGCATGTAAATGGCAGTGATGATGGAAGGGAATCTTTCTAAAAAGATTGGGAACAAAGCAACTGAAATAATAAGGGCACTCCACAGTAGACTGTGTACAGGCCTTTGCAGAGGCAAGAAATTGTGTAAGGACAAATTTTGTCACTGTGACTGTGGTCAAGTTCCTTTTACTTGGGTCTTAGTTTCCCTCTTAATAAAATAGTAAGAAAGAATTTGATCTAGGAGTCTGAGTCTCTGTGGCCCCTTCCTACCCAGATATTATAATTAATTTTTGTCCCGTTCTTTTTTTTTAAATATTTTTTATTGGTTGTTCAAAACATTACAAAGCTCATGATATATCATCTCAGATATTATAATTAATTTTGGACACAATTTTCTAACACCTAGATTAACATTTGTTTTAGGCTAAAATTCAATATAACTTTAAGAAATACCATCCAGGCATGGTGGTGCATGCCTGTAATCCAGTGGCTCCAGAAGCTGAGGTAGGATTGCAAGTCAAAGCCAACCTCAGCTACTTAGCAAGACCCTGTCTCAAAATTAAAAAAAAAATAAAATAAAAAGAACTGAGGATGTGGATCAGTAGTTCTACCCTGGTACCAAAGCAAAAAAAAAAAAAATATTTTTCTTTTCTTGGTGAGTTACTAAGATTGTGAAAAGAGAGTTTTATAATGGCGATTTTATTCACATGTTACCTGCTTTCTATCAGATTTTTTTCTCACCTATTAATTTAAAATTATTTTAAGGTCAGCTTTAGCTCAAGCAGTTACTTCTTCACACTGGACTTTTCATCTGTTTATTTTAAAATTGTTTTAATGAAATTTTCATGCGACTATTTCTATTTTTAAAACTGTTGGCTAGCGATCAACATGTATTGAATTTTAAGGTAAAAAAAGATAAGTTTGGAAATCAGGTAAAGAAGCACTACTTGCAAGGTGAAGGTAGCCTTTTAAGAATAGGGAAGGCCTGTTCCAGGCCTTGAAGACCCAGGAAAAAGAGCCAGGAAGCAAATTCTAGGCCCATATCTGCTTGATGGCTTGTGTGAACTTAAGACAATTCCCTTCTCTCCCCCCCGCCACCCCCCAGGACTCCATCTCTACCAATATTGGTCTACTCTAGAGAAGCAGGGGCTTTCCAAGTATGGTCCCTGAAGCATCAAGATCTTCTGTAACCCTTGAGAACTTGTTAGAAATACACATTCTCAGGATTTACTTTTGACATACTTCAAGAAGCCCACAAGTGATTCTAATACACACAAAATTCTGAGAACCATTATTCTAGATATTTTCAAATTTTTGCAATGAATGAATGTCCCCTTTAAAATGATTTATAGTTCATATAATAGCTGATGAATTTTTACCTGTCTATACTCTATAACCATCATTCAAACCAAGAATATTTACATGAGCCCATAAATTTCCTTATGTCACTTTCTAGTCAATTTCTCCTGAGCCAACTCCAAGTAACCATTCCTGCTGTGGAATTTTTTATATAAGTGGAATTAGATGATATGTTCTCTTTTGTGTTTGCCCTATTTTATACAACACAATGCCTATGAGATTCACTCATATTGTTGTGTGCATCAGTAGTCTGTTTCTATTTTTGGACAATATACCACCATTTGAACATTCCATAGTTCGGTTATCTCTCTCAGGGGTGGTTAACCACTGAACTACATCTCCAGCTTTTTTTATTTTTTTGAGACAGGATCTCACTTAATTGCTTAGGGCCATGCTAAGTTGCTGAAGCTGGCTTTGAGCTTGTGATCCTCCTGCCTCAGCCTCTTGAGCCACGGGGATTACAGGCATGTGCCACCATACCCAACTTTCCTTTCTCTTACTAATACAAGTTGGGTCATTTCTCAATTTAAACTGTTGCAAATAGTACCCCTATGACTTTTAGCAGATATAAGCACTCATTGTTCAACAATATATAACCAGGAGGACCTTCACCCCTTATTTTTTAAATTAAATCTCATATTTTGACATCATTGTAGACATACAGGCAGTTTTAAGAAATAATAGAAAGCCGGGTGCTGTGATGCACACCTGTAATCCCAGTGTCTCGGGAGGCTACGGCAGGATGATCACAAGTTCAAAGCCAGCTTAAGCAAAAGAGAGCCACTAGGCAACTCACTGAGACCCTGTCTCTAAATAAAATACAAAAATAGGGCTGGGGATGTGACTCAGTGGTTAAGTGCCCCTGAGTTAATTCCCCAGAACAAAAAAAAAAAAAAAAAGAAAAGAAAAGAAGCAATAGAGAGAGCTCTGGTATACTTTACTGTGGATCCCCCAGTGGTAACATCTTATAAATTCTCCTATAGTAGCACAACCAAGATACTGACAGTTAAGATTCAGAATGTCACCACAAGGATACTTCATGTTAGTCTCTTGTAGCGACTTCTTACACACATTCCATCCTCTAACTTGTTCTTAGCTTTTGGCAACCACATTTATTCTCTTCTCCATTTCTATATAGCATTGCCATTTCAAGAATGGAGAAGCTGCCTGGTGCAGTGGCACATGCCTGTAAACCCAGTGACTCAGGAGACTGAGGTAGGAACATTGCAAATTTAAGTCCAGTGTGTGCAACTTAGGAGACCTTCAGCAACTTAGCAAGAACCTGTCTCAAAAAAAAAAAAAAAAAAAAAATTAAAAGGACCGTGGATGTGGTTCAGGAGTAAAGCACTCCTGGGTTCCATTCCCAGTATGAAAAAAAAGGAGAATCATAAGAAATGGAGAACAATGTTATAGTGACTTAAAATAACACACATTTATTACTCTATAATTCTGGAGGTCAGATAGAAGTCCAAAATAGGCTATAATTGAGCTAAAACCAAGGTATCAGCAGGACTGTATTTCTTCTGAAGCTTCTCGTGGAGAATCTGTTTGCTTGACTTTCGAAGCTTCCAGAGGCCACCTGCACTCCTCAGTTGGTGGTCTTTTCCTCCAACCTCAAAACCAGCAACATGGCATCTTCAGATCTCTACAATTATCACTCTCTTCCATCTTTTGAGGACCCTTGTGATTACACTGGAACCATCTGGATAACATAGCATCATCCCCTTATCCTAAAATCCTTAACCTAATCATACCCAAGTCCTTTTGCCATTTAAGGTAACATTCATAGTTTCCATGGATTAGAACATGAAGATCTTTGGGGAGTCATTATCCTGCCTATCACATCTATCTTCCTGGAAGAAGTTCATCTTCTTTCCCCCTTTTAAAACTACACATACATAGCCCAACATATAAAAACAGACATCCTCTGGTTGAGGTTGGAGGGAATCTAGAGCCCTTTAACTTCCAAGGCAACAACAATAGTTGGGATGATCATTAAGAGATTCTTAATGTCTCCTCCTAGATCGATGCTCTAGGGACCTAGAATTCCATTTCTAACCTTAGAATTGAAGTTGTGAAACTGTCCTTTTCCAAGTACATGACGGAACTCTCCTAGGGGAATACATTGGAATCAGAAAATATACTGATGCTTGAGTTCCCTTTCTACAGATTATAATTTGATCTGAGGTTGTGATGTGCACTTTGGAAACTTTAAAGGATTCTAATTTGCAGGCAAGTTTGGGAGCCACTGCCTCAAATGGTTGTTGTGAGAGTTTAAAGCACATGTGGGAACTTTCCTTGCAGTGTTGGATGACCAAGAAGAGATTGGTACAAGTCAAAGTGCCAGGTCCAAGATAAACTAGGTTTATTTGCTTCTTAGTTCCTTCATCGGCAAAATGAGGATAACATAACTAGGTTACAGAATAGACACCTTTTATAAACTCTAAAGTACTGCTTAATAATTTTGTATGTACATACATTCTTCATCCTCAGTTTATACTGCACTGCCTTCTGTAACAAGACCCAAGTAGTTTACACAACCTTTATTGGCACTGCAATAAGTAAGGAGATGGGACAAGATTGAGGCCTTCCTAATAAGGGGGAAGGACAGGGTTTGACCACCCATGAAGAGTTCAGAGATAAAAGTTAGAAGTCCCTAGGTCCTGATGACAAGCAAGTCTAGAAACACCATATGGTCAATGTAGGACCCATAACCACACTAGCAAAGCTAGCATTTAAGCGAGACAGTCTGTGATCTTGGAATTTTCCTGTATTTTTGAGCTTGTTCCCACCTCTTAAAATGGGGGTGGTCATACCCCTCCTTCCCATAAAACTAAAGTGAAGATAAAAAGGAGATCAGGGATGGAAAAGGTGATCTGGAGAGTGCAAGTTACACTGAAATCTTACAGCCGCCCACCCAAACCACAAAGAAAGACTGAGTCACAGTGAAGTCTTCCTAAATTTTATTGGCACTGAAATAGAACATGGGTTGAGCATAAACCCTGCCAAAAACAATTTTTAAAAAACCCAAAAATACACAAAAAAACCTGAATATAAAATCTAACCTTTCTCCCCAGCCTCCCTGGGGGTGGGTTACTGCCCTTAAGGCAGCTAGATTGCCCCACAATTCCAGATTTGAATTTAGCCAAAACAGGGCATATCACCAAGTGAGTATCAATATAATTCACAGCAATGCACACAAGACTCCCCAGGGTCAGGTGGGGGGCAGGGATTGAGGAAGGCTCTCAGTTAGGGGCACTGCATGGAGGGAAAGGATAGCCCCAGGGGGGACTGAACCCTAGGGAGAAGGCAAACAGGAACAATAAAACCAAATACCAAGTGCTTTAAAAATGGATTGTATGACCTATAGTGACAGGTAATATCACTAATACTGAAAGTTTCTTACATTACTGTTTCTGGCAAAGTATCCTTTTATAATATAGTATATGCTTCCCAGGTAAAGGAATGAGGCCAAAATGATCCTGCCCCAAGACTAATATCTTCTAATGGTGCATTAGCAATAAAGGCAGAAATCAATATTGAGTTAGATATCACTAGAATATATAATACTGGTAGAAAGAAAAAGAGCACACAAGACAGAGAGGAGGAGGCCACTTCTGGGTTGAGAGCAAGGGGTCGGGGTGTTGAAGGGACCAGGTTAGAATCCCCAGCAGCTCTCTGATATGTAGCTCCAAGGGACACCACAGCTGGTGACAAGACCTGGTTAAAGGTTTGTCAGAGGTAGGGCCCAGTCACCACCTTAGATGGGGATGATGGGAAGGGGCTACTGGGCACCTGAGAGGATTGAGTAAACTGAAGGACCAGAGGCATGGGCTTCTCTCACCAGATGCAGCTTCTGCTATCCACTTCCCAATTGAGCCTACTGGTGCCAAGATCTAGGGCTCACCATATCAAGGCCCACACTGCTGTGAGGCAGGAGCTGTGGCCCATGTAACTCTGATAGGGGAAGTGGCCTAGAGCTCCTGGCTAAGAAAATCCTGAAGGCAGGTGTGAACATTCCTCCCTTTTGGCAAGAGCAGTGGTTGGGGGTGGCTGAGCTTTTGGGTACTTATCCCTATTATTCTAACTGTGGGGAATTTGTGGATTGGAGGGGGCATGGGTAGATACAGAGAAGGAACCAGGAACCTGGAACTACAAGGGGTACTTCTGCCCATAGAGCTCAATTGAGACAAGCCTAGGCTCATATAAGGCATCGGGGCAGGATCTTTTACCCAGCATTGGCTGACTAAAAGTGCCAATGGCCTTCCAGAATGATAGTGAAGCCTTTTGAAGGCACAATCTCCCTCATCCCACCCTGGGGAGAAACTGAGTCCCTGAACTCAGGGACAAGGCTTATTGGGACTGAGTTTGTAACAGGCCCAATCTGGGAGGTAGAAACAAGAATGACTGAACATCTCTTTATCCTCCAATCATTACCAAGCCTAAATAACTCTAAAAAGGATGGGCATTGGGAGGCCAAATCCTATGTAAGTTGGCACACTAGAACAGATAACCAGGGACCTGTCTGCTTCCCTATACCCTGTAATACCCTAACCCTGTAAATCATATGGAAGAGGAAGTCAGTGGTGGGGTAGGGGAGAGGAGCTAGCTTTCACCACACTCCACATTTGACTTCCAAAGGACAATAGTAAGTGGGGGGTGGGCAGTTGCCAACTGAAGTGAAAGTGCCTCTGAACTGGGGAAGTGGTTGGTTCTAGCAAGCTAGATTAAATGGAACAGAGAGGGGAAACAGGGTCCCATTGGCACCACATTGGGCTATTTGACTGCCCAGGGAAATGAGTGGGAACTGAGGTGCTAGGTTTGGTCCCATGGCTGCACTGTATGCTTGGCATGACTCCAGGGCTGCTCTAGTTAGTGGCTCCAGCACAGTGTGAGTTAGGCAAAAGTATAAGGAGTGTCAGGGAAAGGAAGAAGGGAGGAGGGGTCCCTAGAGGCTGGGTGCCCTTTACATGGACTCAAACTCATCGATGCGCTGCTTGGTGTTGCCCTGCCGGATCTGGCGCAGGGTTTTGTATTTGTCTCGGCCCAGTCGCATGTTCTCAGCATGGATCATGTCATTGGCAGTCTTCTTGGATTCATCACGGGCATTGGCCAGCTCTGAAGTAAGGGCCTGTGAGGAGGCAAGCAATGTAATGTTCAATGGCTTCCTTTCATTTAAAGTATACATACTTGATCAGATTTTTCTTTTCTGTTTTTTCCTCTCCCTGCCAATTCCAGCCCCATTAGCACTGCATGCGACAAGTATTGTTTCTTTTTTAAATATAAACTTAGGGGACCAGTTGATGTTTCATATTCCTTGAGAGTAGAACAACATACCAAAGAAAGATTTGAGTAGGAATTTTATCAGGTAAGTTTTTTTTTTCAGGTAAATATTTTATGAATGTAAGAGATAAGGAGTGGGTGGAAGGTAGGGCAAAAATAAAATCTTGAAAATGGAAGACGCAGCCAGGCATGGTGGCACATGCCTGTAATCCCAGCATTTCAGGAGGCTGAGGCAGGAGGATTGCAAATTCAAGGCCAGCTTTAGCAACTTAGCAAGACTCTAAATAATTTAGTGAGACCTTGTCTCAAAATAAAAATAAAAATAAAAAGGGATAAGATGCAGCTTAGTGGTAAAGTGCCTCTGAGTTCAATCACCAGTACTCCCCCAAAATTGAAGAGGCAACCTAGGGACTGATTAATAAGTGAGACATGCCCCCCCTTTAATGTTTTACTTAAGATAGCCTCAGACTCTAGTACAGCACTGGGACAGGCCCCTATATCTATTCCTTCATGATGATCTAGGGAAGACCATGGCTAGTAAGTCAATACACAAAGTCTCCTGGACCATTTGGCCTTGTCCAGATACCTTCAGGTGTTTCTGCACACGCTCGTTCTTCTCTGCCTCAGTGGTACGTTCCTCTTCACTGCGGTCCTTGGCCATAGCATCCGCCCTCAGATCAGCACTGGCCTCTGCCCCATTCTCATCCTGTTCATCTTGCTCATTCTCCGCAGGCTCTGCCACATGAGGTGTACTCATGGCAGTCTTCAGTTCAGCACGGGTCTTCTCCAAGTCTTCCTGTACCATCTGGGCCTATCCAGTGACAAAAAAAAAGAAAAGGAACAGAGGTCAGATTAGGTAACCTGTGGCAACATGTGCATGCTTAAAATAATCTGGTAAAAGACAGATATCAGGTGGGACAAACAGCTTTATATGTTTAATCCCTAGTTTCATCAGCTATAAAATAGAAGCAAATGTACCAACTTTCCAGGAGTACCAGGGAATTTGGAAAGTGTTTGAGACAGCATTGAGCACCCTCTCTCACAATTTCTGCTGTCCAGAAAGACTGGAAGTGGGAGGAGCCCAAATGAAGGAGCTGGAATATGTACATATAGTACCCCTTCCCACAATGCTTTGTTCTGGCCACTATCTTACCTTTTGCTGCCACTCCACAGCCTCACTCTCCTTCTTCTGTCGGGCCATCTCCAGCTGAGAGATCCGAGCTGTCAGCTCTGCCATTTCTGAAGCCTACAGATAGATTAAAAGCTAGTGAGGTCTGGGCATTCTGGTTTTCAGAGCACAGGTGTCTTCCACCCAAGTTCTCTTGGGGAACCAGTGGAGAACCTAATGTTCCACTTGCTTGCTACCCTGGTAGCTCTTTTATAAATTTTCTTTTTAGTTGTAGATGGACATGATACCTTTATATTATTTATTTATTTATGTGGTGCTGAGGATCAAACCCAGTGCCTCACATGTGCTAGGCAAGCACTCTACCACTGAGCCACAACCCGCCCCTCCCTGTGGCTCTTTTAACCAGACCACTCCACTCCAGTCCCATCGTCCACACCCACCACCTTCTTGTAAGTCATAGTTCTCCTCCTAGACTGTAGGATTCCTGGAGGCAAAAAAAAAAGTCTCTTCTTTGTATCTATCACTCTTTCTCTCTTCTTTCTTCTTCTTCCCTTTCTTCTCCTTCTCCTTCTCCTTCTCCTCCACCCGCCCCCCAGTATGGCCAAGTAAGCATGTGGTTTAGACCTCAGTAAAGCTGTGGAGATCACTGCCTAAAATGCAGTGCCTCAAGTGTCACAAGGTGATTTGAACAAGGGAAAATGCTTATGTACACAATCACACCTTCAACAAATTTCCCATGATAGCTTCTTCCTGAGAGATAGGTCATAGTTCCCTCTATTCCCACCTCAAATAATACAAGGGAAGAGTTTATGTCCAAGAATTTGGGCCACGGGTTCCTCTCTTGTAAATCACAAAAGCCTGCCCCCAAATACACTGACATAGTTCTGCAAATGATTTCAGGGGAGCAAACCCTTAAAATGGAGGTAGAAATGGGTTTCAATCCATGCTCAACCACAACTGTGTGGCCTCTTGGAAACCTCCCTAAGACCTCATTTTCTTATCTGGCCATATTATTCCATGTAGGGGTTAATCGCATAAGGTACTGAAAGAAATAATGAGAAAGTAAGAAAAAGGAAAATATGACTAGGATAGCAACACACAATAGGTACTTAATTGAGTGAGAGTCCCTTTACTTCTTTCCTCCATCCCTTTCCTTTGCAGGATTACCATTTCATATCTCCAAGGGTTAATAAAGTGAATAAAAACTAAGGGTGAGAGAAAACTGTTTGCAAAGGTTTCTGGGCCACACCAGTGACTCCTCAGCTTGTTTCTGAATGAGCTGTTAGAAGCCTGTGGAGTGGAATCCTGCTGGGAAGAGCCAGGCTTGAAGGCAGAGGTAGCTATAAATAGGTTGGCTGACAAGAGAGAAAACACAGGTCCCACAATTCCAGACCATCATGCAGCTTTACCAGTTGTTCCTGGGTCTTCTTCTGGTCTCGGGAAGCCTGCAGCAGGGCCTCCTTGGCCTCTTCAGCTTCTTGACGTTCCTTGGCCAGCTTTTCAGCCTCGCTCTGAGCACGCTTCCGTTCTTGCTCAAGTTCCAGAGCCCTGCGGGTTTGTTCTTCCAGTTCTGGGCAGAAAAGGAAGGAAAAGGAAGGTGAAGGAAAAATGAGGTGAAGGGAAGAGAGATGATAGTACATTAACATCTTTCCTGGAAATGTTCTACTCCACGGTACAGCTGGCAGATGGTTCTGAGAACTCTTCTTGCCCCATCCCTCAACTTTTCTGTGGCCACATCTAGTCTCTATGGTCTGGGTCTGCAGTTTAGGCATTAGAGTCTCCAGCTCACAGAGTCAGGCTTTGGGAAAACCCAATCTCCAGTGTGACTCCAGTTTTACCTTGCTGAGCCTTCTTAGTCTGTTCCTCGATCTGCTTCAGCTTCTCCATCAGTTCTTCCTTCTCCCGTTCAATCTTCTCCTTCTCCTTTTCTGCCATTTCACGCTTCTTCTTCTCATTTTCCAGCAGAGCACTGGGGAAGGGAAAGAGGAATAGAGCAGGATAGCAAGGTTGCATGGAAGCATAGAGATTCTCAGGGCTCCCTGGCCCTGAGTCCCTCAGTCAACATCATTCCAATAAACCCTGGGCTTGTAAACTTGAACCATTCTCCCTTACTTCCACATCCTTGCCCTCATATCACAACCCCATATAGGATATTATTATATTATATTATACTCAGGGCCCAGTAGGGAAACTCAAACTAGAATCCCAACTCTGCCAGTAACCCACTAGGTGAACCTAGCTATGCTACTGCTTCACTTCTGTCTTCATTTCCCCTATCTGTAAAAGTGGTCTAATAAGTCCTCCTCTGTTTGCCTATGGAATTTAGGAAGACAAGTTTTGGCTCCATGTTAAGATGCTATGCTTCAAGTATCTATGGCTAACTTTGCCTGTCCTAAAGCCCAGCTCTAGGCTCCTTTTACTCAGAGTTTATTGCAAATATGAAATAAGAATTTGTTTTTCTTAGCCATAGCATTTTTTTTCCAGTAAGCCTTCTTATCCCTTAACAATATGTTTTTTAATCCCTCTGAGCCCTCAGAATATTTGAGATACCCTCTTCCCCACCCCTCTTCCCTGTTATGCTTTTCTCCATAGCACTTTTAATATTCTACTTACTATGTAATTTTCTTATTTATTAGTCTGTCTTCTCCCAATAAAATTATAGCTTCACAAGAACAGGGATTGTTGGTATTTTTTCAAGTACTCATTAATTATTTACTAAGTGAATGAATGACACAACTTTGTAACTTAAGTTTCATATACATTATGAAACTCCAAAACCATATACATTTGAAACTATTTGTCCTACCAGGACTGTGAGGTCCTAGAGGGTAGGTTCTTAGCAGATCCAGTTCCATAAACTGCCTCCCAATCCTGGTAAATTTTTTCCTAAATAAATGTGGACTTCAGGGTCTAAGCTATCATATATGGAGTCATTTCTAGTCTACTAGATTTGAAGCCTTCCAAGGTTTGAAACATTATATATATATATATTTTTTTTTTACTTTTTGGTACCAGGGATTGAACCCAGGGGCACTTAAACACTAAGCCACATCCCCAGCCCTTTTTTTATTTTGAGACAAGGTCTCACAAATTGCTAAGGCTGACTTTGCAATCCTCCTGCCTCAGCCTCCCAAGCCGCTAGGATTATAGGTGTGTGTCACTGCACCCGGCAGGTTCCAAACTCTTTATGACAGAGTATCTAGTACAGCAACACTCCTCAAACCCTAATATGCATAGGAATCACCTGGGATCTTTTAAAATAATTGAGGCAAAACATACATAACATAAAATTAACTATTTTAAAATGAATAGTGGCATTTAATACCTTCACAAATGTTGTACAAAATTCTTTTAGGTGTAGATGGACATAATATCTTTATTTTATTTATTTAATTTTATGTAGTACTGAGGATCAAACCCAGTGCCTCACATGTTCTAGGCAAGTGCTCTACCACTGAGCCACAACCCCAGCCCTGCAACCACCATTTTTGAGTTCCAAAAACATTTTCATCCTCTAAAGATCCTATACCTATTAAGCAGTTTCTACCCATCCTCCCTCCACTACCAGCCTCTGACTATCACTAATTAACATTCTGTTTCTATAAATTTTTCTATTCTGGACATTTCATACAAATAGATTCATGCAATATGCAACATTCTGTCTTACTGCTTTCACTTACCATAATGTTTTAAAGGAGCATCCATACTGTAGCATGTATGTTCCCCAAAGAGCCTTGGTTCCCAAGGTAATGGTATTGAGAGGTGAAAACTTTACATAGTGGGGCCCAGTGAGAGGTAATTAGGTCATTGGGGAACTATCCTCAGATCGAATTAATGCCTTTCAGGAGGGAGTATGTTGGATCTCATAGGACTGAATTAGTACTTGTGAGACTGGTTTGTTATAAGTGAGTCTGGCACTTACCCTGAATTCCTTCTTCCACATGTACACATGCTCCTGCTTTGTGAAGCCATCTGCAGTGTAATATTAGAGTCTGAGGCTTTCAACAGATGTGCCTGCCTGATCTTGGACTTCTCAGCCTCCAAAAACTAAAATATGCCTCTTCTTTATAAAGAACTCAGCCTCACATATTTTGTTATAGCAACACAAAGTAGGCTAAGATATACCCTACTCTATATTACAATTTGTTTATTCATTTATCCATTGGTAGGCTTTTGGGCTGTTTCAATTTTTTGACTATTGAAATACTACTGCTAGTTCAAGTGTTTGAACACCCATTTTCAATTCTATTAGGTACTTAACTAGGAATGGATTTGCAGGATCATATATAGAGCAATTCTATCTTTAACATTTTGATGAGCTGTCACATTCTTTTATTCCATTATATGTTCCCACCAGCAATGTACATCAGTTCCAATCACTCTACAACTTCAACATTTGTTTTCTAGTTTTATTTATTATATCCATACAAATGGGTATGGAGTGGTAACTCATTAAGATTACCATTTGCATTTTCCTAGTGACTAAGGATGTACCTGTTGGCCATTTGCATATCATATGATCATGATCATTTTCCAAAGATCCAATGGGATCTTATGAGGCAGATTTTCATCAGTAGGTCTGGAGTAGGGTCTCAAATCTTACCTTTCTACCAAGTTCCCAAGCTGATGCTAATGATGCTAAGGCTCACATTACACTTTGAGCTGCAAGGGGTTATAGTGCAAGGACTAGACACTTTGTATGGAAAATTCTGGGAGCCCTGCCCATTTCTGCTTAAAAAAAAAAAAAAAAAAAAAAAAAAAGCACCCTGAAGAATCCAAACTTAAATGTGCATGGAACCCTCTGCTACTCCCACTATACTGGTAGGTTAGTCTGGAGCAAACTAGTCCTAACACAGTAATGGCATGAGGGTCATAGATAATGGGGAACTATGAAATATCCTTTCCTCCAATAAACCTCTGAAACGTTAGGTTTCCAATGCCTGCTTCCCAGCAACAAGGATGCCTTTGCCTGAAACTAAACCTAGTGGTATCATCCATACACAGCTCGCTCACTTCTAGTCCTGAGTTGACTTCATATCCTGGGTACCTCTTACAGTCTGGGCATCTGTGAGGCTTCCTTACCCTAGTGCTGGCCCTTTCTCCAGGATCTCCTCTAGCTCTTTAGCACCTACCGTTCCATCTGCTTCTGGTGCTTCTCCTCCCGGGCCTGTGCCTTCATCTGCTGCACTTCAATGGTGTCAGGCTTACGGCGGCGCATGTATAACTCATGGTTCCCCATGCACAGGGCCAAGATTCGCTTGTTAATCCGCAGCCGGGGAGCATAGAAGACAAAGTCCTGGTGGGAAAACAGCAATGAAAATGTTTGGAGGAACAAATGAAAATGAGTTTCTACCTTCTGAAATGCTAAATCCACAAGCACTGGAAAGACTGCTTTACATTACAGATGGGAAGACTAATTATCAGAATGGTGAAGTGATTTGCCCAGGGTCAGATGGCAGGACAAGGGTAGACCCGAGACTAGAACCCAGGTTTCTTGACTCTGAAACCAGTGCTCTTTCCACCAAACCACAATTTCTTCCAACATACATTTATAAGAGGATCCCTAAAATACATTCATCCTAATATACCCAGTTAAAGAATCAGAACTGCCTTTATCTGCTAATTAGAGATCCTACTAAGTCTCAGGAGGCCTCTTTTAGAAGCCAAACAATCCTTGCACCCAGTGGGTGCAGTATGGGTGGCTAGACTGTTCCTGTAATTTCCAGAAAGCATATCTTAGACCCAGCCTTTAAATCCTTTTTGCAACAAGATAGGCTGTAAATACATACATAGATATATAAATCTCCTAAACATTGATTGTCCTGGTTGCTGTTTGTTAAATAAGCCCTTGAGCTCAGCTGGCTTTGTTACTTACCTTTTTCTGATGAAAGTTGAGCACAGCAGCAATAAAAAAGAACACACAAGAAAATCCAGTGAGTTTAAGTTTGTTGCTACAAATACCACTGGACCAAGGTCACTCTCTGATGGGCTAACAACCACCTCCTCTGCCACTGAAACCAAACTGCTATCATCTCATAGTTTGGGGTACAGTGGAAGGAGCACAGGCTTTCAAAGTCAAATGACCTAGGTACAAATCCAAGTGCTACCATTTTCAGTTGTGTGATCCTGGGCAAATCATTTCATCTTTCTGAACCTCAATTTCATGAACTTAACTGGAATGCTACTACCTACCTGATGACATAGTTAAGGCTTTAAAGAGACAACATAATATGGAAAAGTTCAGATATCTTAGGATTGGAGAATAAGGCTGAGCTCTCATGAAATGGGTCAGGCTCAGCAAGGTCACTGGCCTTGCTGGATACAAGGTATACCAGAAGAGTAGACACTCATCTCAGTTTTCTATCCTACTCTCAATCACCAGCTTTCCAGTCCTGTTAGATGCAGGAAACTGAGTGGGTGAGAAATATAATGAATGTGTAAAAGGAAGGACTGGACTCAGAATTTTCTTTTCTGGAGAGAAGTCTGAGAGGGCAAAGATAAAGTTATACCAAAAGAGCAAATTTGGAAGGTCATTTTTAGATTTGGACTTCTGCTGGCTCTTCCCTTTTTCCACAATTAAGATAAATCAAGTATATATCTACTTTCTGGGGCCCAAGGGCTTAAAAAGATGAGATACACTCTGTTTTCACCACAGATACTCAGAGCAGCAAGACAATAACTAAGAAGCAGCACTTAGGACTGCCTGTGGCTCTCCCTCACCCACAGAGTGAGACAGGTATCAGGGTGGCACCTGAAATGTGGGTAGCAGAATGACAGTTGGCACAGGGTGTCTCCTGGTCATTTCTTAGCATTGACATCCTTTGTATCTCAATCATCACTTGTGCCTCCTGTTCATGTGTGCATGTACACATGCACACATGTACATGTACACACAACACACACACATACCTATACACACAGAGACATGCACAACAAACCAGAAAAGGAGAGATGAATATAATGATATGATTGCTTCTAGCATTATCCAGGCCTTGGTGAGTACCTGTCATGGTCAGAGGGAGGGGTTACTTACTGGGGCTTTTTTGTCAATAGGCTTGATGACAAATTTCTTATCATTGAAAGAGATATTCCTGATTTCACTCCAGGGGAAGCCAATCTTAGGAGTCAGTCTGTAGAAATGGAGATCAACAACATTAGGACAAGGGCAAGACAAGAAGTACATAGAGGCTTGTGCCTTGCCCTCACCACCCCCCAAACCTCTCCCTTTAGGAGGTAGACCCACTACAGTGCAGACAATGTCATCACATGCCAGCAGGTTAATTGCTAGCACTCAGGCTGCACAAAAGACTCAAAACCACAACCAACATATTATTCCTTGTTCCAATCTCTGAGATTTAGTTTGTTTTGATTTTTGTTGAGGCATGGACCTTGTAACAATCCTTTAACAGCATCCCTAGTTCTATTAAACAGAGACTCTTCTATCCAAGGTTATGAAAGTTGAGGAGGAGGTAAATAATGAGTTCTGAGATTCAGAAGTTATATGGAACAATAATCTATTGATCTCAATCCTCACCAAGAACAGACCAAAAGGGAAAAATATAAGCAAGTGAGATAAGGTCATAGAATGAGTATTATAGGCCAAAGCCACTTATTATCACATGGGGCTTATATCTAATTACAAATCCTGACAAGGTAGGTTCTAAAGCAGCACTGTCCAAAAATTTATAATGATAACACATATCTACTTTTAAGTTTTCTAGTAGCCCCATGAAAATGAGTAAAAAATAAATAAATGGAATTAAAATAGTCAAATTAATCCAACATACAACAAATACTACTATTATTTCAACACGCAAATCAATATTTAAGAAAATATCAAAGATATACTGCAAATTCTGTTTTTCACATTAATCATTCAAAGTCTGGTGTATAATTTATGCTTATAGCATGTCTCAATTCAAAGTAGCCACATTTCAAGTGTTCATTGGCCACCTATGGCTAGTTGACTACCATCATAGGCAGAACAAGTCTAGTCAATACAGGATTTCAACATCTGAGAGAGGTGGTACAACCATCTGGACTGGATTAAATCAGGTAGAAGAAGAACTTTGGTGGGACTCAAGAGGTAAGCTAGGTGTCAGAATGACCCAAATAAACTAGGAGAAGTCTAAAGTATACCTGTCATTCTGTTCATAGATGTTGAGACCCAGAGCATCTACCCCCAGCCACAGCTCTGATCCTTTTTTGTTCTTAATGCTGAAGTAGTTCACACCGTACATCTCCAGATCTTGGGCAATCTTCAGATATTCCAGGACAGCATCCTCTCTGGGCGGGGTGGGGGGAGGTCACAGAGGGAAGCATTTGAATCAGACCCAGTGGGACAGAAAAGCCTACTTGCTCTGTATTTCTGATAAGGATCTTTTAATCAGTAGAAGGACATGGGGTGCAAGGTAAACAAATAATGGAGAACAGAGCACATGTAACTTTTACCAAGCAAAATAAACCAACTGGAACCTAGGCCCTGACATGTTAGTTGCCATAGAATCTATTTTCTTCCTCCCATTCAATGTGACAGTCTCTTATACAAGAACATTCTTAGCAAAACTTAGATAGGGTAGTAGTGATGGCAAAATGATGAGATCTGTTCTTCAAATAGACAACCCTCCAATTCTTTGCAATATTCAGAGAGCTCATTTCCTAGTTCCTTTTTGCATAGGAGCCCGCTGTTGACCCAGAAGCTACGTGGATATCCTATGGTCCTCTCAATTACTCAGTGCTCAGAAGTATTTGGCCTTTCGACTTCTACTATTCATGAAAGCACACAAACAAAAAATAGGTTTATGATGGTTCTGGTTTTGCCTTCTATCTTTAAGTGCTAGTATCATCCCTGCTTCTTTTTCTATAGTATCTCCCTTCAAGGACCAGTGGGGCCCACAATTGCTAGGTGAGGTTTACCTAAGCATGCCTCGGTGTTCCTCATGCCACACCTGGATCCGCTCCTCCCACTGGTCCTTGTTGAGTTTGTGCTGCTCCAGGACTCTGAAATGATAATTGGTAGTGAGCAGTTTAAAGTGCAAAGTCAATGTACAGGAGAGAAGGGAAGCCCACTTAGTTCTCCAAGACATGGAGTCAGCTCATGGAGATAACACTTGAAGCAGATTCAGATTACAGTGGAAGGTATTAAATTAGACATAAGTAACTGCTTAAGAGGTAGGAGAACTTACAAGAATGGATGGACAAGAAAGACAATGAGATCACCTTCCTATGTACCTTTAACAACAAAATCCAATAACGTGCTGTGTTCTCTAAGCACAACAGGAATGTATCAGGAGTCAGTGCTGACTTGAGGGGATAAGAGTAGAGATGAGCCACAGACCCAGGCACACTCTCTCCTAGATCCTCTTGGGGTCAACAGGTTGTGTTTTTAAGAATATTTCTCAGGAATGAGAGGACAGACAGCTTTTGGCTACAGAACAGAGAACTAAGCCCAAACAGCTTTGGGAAAAAAATAAAAGGCCAAACCTCTCAGATCTACTAGATTATAAATAAGGCTTGCTTTAAACATGCCATCTCAGCTATTGGGGCAATGAGTCAGGAAATGTTCGAGGGTACAACTTCTATCCCTAATACCTTCTGATGGATTGTGCACATGCCACAGCCCCAGTGGCACTAGGGATCCCAGAATGAGGCTTAATTTTGTTTTGTTTTCTAATATATAAGCCTATGGAAATGGCCACTGGATGCAACAGAAAAATCTCAGGGTTAAAAAAAAATCAAGAAATTAGAGTTTCTGGTCTGGCTCTGCCTCAAATGAGCTGTGGGAGATGGGGCAAGTCAGTACAAGTATCTCTACACCTCTATTTCCTGAGCCAGGAAATAAGGATAATGCTTGCCTTATTCATTTTCTGTGTTGTCGTGATGTTAAAACAAAAATAATGAGTGTTTGAGAGCTCTCAACTTTGAAGTTTACAAAAGCAGAAAGCCCTGTACAGTGGTTATCAATATTAAAAGACTATTTGAGCTCCCCATGTCCCTTGCTTGCGTATTTCTCTCTCTCCCCTGTGAACTTCTGAAATAAAAGGTCTAAATCAGTGAAAGGGATTGAGAAAATGAAACGGGGGAGGAAGGAAAAAAATCAATCCATCTCTGGTTCAGTTATAAGCACCTGTCTCCAGGGTAATGAAGTTCTGTAATCAGACAGAGAGGAGAAAAAAAGCTTTTTATTTTGAGAGTCAGAGAAACAACAGGGCATGACGCTATATGCAAACGTCTCTCTGAGCAGCATAACATGGTCTTCAGACAGACCCTAGTGGAGAGGAATAGATCTGGCAGCCTCTTTGGAGCAGAGATTAGCTAACTGTGGGCTGCAGCCCCCTTTGGCTAGGGCAAAGGAGGCCAGGGTACCACCTCACCTCTGGGGCAGCAACTTGTCTCCAGCCAGGTAGCCAGATTTGTGAACCTCCTTATTGAAGTCACCATACTTGGACTGGACAGCATAGGAGGCCAGTAACACAGCAGTTTCAGGTGGGCAGTAAATGTCATCATTGAGAATGCCCTCCTTCACTTGCAGGAAGAACAGGCGCTGGGTGATGTCCTGGATCAATTCCTCAGATACATCCTCAGGGTAGAACTTGGCCCGGAACTTGAAGAGCAGGGGGCTTTCCTTCCGGACATCCTGTGCTGTCACCTGGGAGAATCAAGGGGTTATAGACTCTCAAAAAGAAGGTTTTAGTGGTGGAGGGGATGGCTACAGGGTAAAGAGGAGACATTGAAAGGTCACCAGTTTGGGTAATCCAAGAGAACTAGGGGACAACCATTCTAATAATACATACTAAAAATACTTTACTTTCTTTAGAGATCCCATCCCATGTCAATTATTACTTTCTGTTGGGAATTATTTTCCTGAAATTTCTTAATACCCACTGATGTTCAGAAGTTGTCAAGCCACTGTTATCTGTCCATATATACAACTGGCCTCATATTCTAAGGGCAGATTTAAGAAAATTCTTTTAAGGTTCTTCTAATTCAGTAAACTAGCACAGTAAAGACTGGGGAACTATGATTGAGGTCTCGAAATTGGCTGGGCAAGAGCAGAAACTAGATTAACTTTTAGGGGCTGGGGATGTAACTCAGTGGAAGAACACTTGACTAGCATGTGTGAGGCTCCAGGTTTGAATCCCAAGACTGAAAATAAAAAATGCTAGATCACCTTTAAAAGCTTGAAATTGGCTCCTAGTGGCTTTATATTTGTCCAGTAAATGTCTCAACTCTTTGGGAAAACAAGACTCAACCAGCAGAAAGTGAAGCATCCACTAGACAAAAATCAAGAAAACGAGTCATAGCACAGTATGGAGACCTCTAAGGATAAAATTGGCCAGTTTGAGGATACTGAGACGGAGGACTACTATGTTCCTGCTGAAATGACACTTAGAGCAGAAAGCATGAATGGATGAAATCATCCCACATGGAGTCCAGTTGAGGTGGAAGATCAACAATGAGGGGAGCATTATAATAGGGTCAGGCATCATTTAGCCAGTGAGAAAAAGGAAGCATGATAATACTGAGATGGTTAAGATTTTTTTTTTCCAGAATGTAAGTTCTGTGGCTCTTTTTTATAATAAATCTCCTACAACCCCTGAGTTTGAAAAGAAGAAAGGAATACAAATCCCCTCCTAAAGAGCCTCTAATGGATTTGGTCCCAAATAAATCAAAATTAGAGACATAACTTCTAATGGGAAGGGAAGGACCTTCCTTGTACATGGCCATTCTTCTCACTATCAGAATTCAAAGTAGGAAAAAAATGAATTCAAAGTGGAGACAGACAAGAGCTTTGTCTTGTCCAACTCTGCCCTTATCTAATTCAGATGGTCAACAGACCACCCAGTGTCAAACATAGCCCTAGGTATCCCAGTTTTGCTAGCTAGCACATGCTATCTCCCTGAGCAAGTTCTGGTGGAGGAAGAAATTCTAAACTCTGACATAAGAGTAAGTAGTTACCTTCTTATTGAGTTTCAGCCAAGTGGAGAAACCCTTAGTGTCCTGGTACTGCAGACCAAAGAACCAAACTTCCCGCAGACCAATAGTTTTCACCACCTAGAAGAGAAAACACAAAACAACCATTGGTTGAATACCTATCACTATGCCAGGCAGAGGACACAAAGGTAAAGCCAAACTGTTCTTTGCCCTCAAAGGTTTTTAAGTGCTAAAGGTCCAGAAAGAAAATATACTTGGGTAGCAGTCAAGAACTGATGTCACCATCTTTCTGCTTCTGAGCACTATCATATACCAAGAGCCTCACATCTATTACCTTCTTAAATTTTTACAATAGCCCTTTGATAAAATTACAACTAGACCCATTTTATAGGCAGTAAAATTAAAGTTCAGAGAAGTGAAATGATTTGCCCAAGGTTCAGGGAGTGAGTGCAGTCAGGATTGAAATGAGCTCTGTTTGACTTGAAAACCATTCAGATCCAGTGCTTTCTATCACCACCACCCCCTTCCCTCTACAAGGCCCTGTAGCTATCTGCTGTCAGAATGAATTAAGGGCTGAGGACAAAGACTGTTGGGCTAATTCCTGCATCTTATTCTTGGAGATTACTCTGATATATTGTCTATCTTTTTAAAAATGTTTACCTATTTATTATAAAGGTATTACAAAAGATACAGATAAATAATCAGATGGAAGACATGCAAAAGATGAGTTATGGGAGGAATACAGAGCTTCTATGTACTCAAGCACTGCTTTCTCCAGGAACCTCTACATGTTCACCTCTCTAGGAACTTCCCAAACCCAGTCCTTTGAGTTTTTATGAAGGATTTATTATGTGGGCATAATTGATTACATCACCAACCATTGGTATCAACTCAACCCTCAGCCTCTCTCTATTGTCCTTTATCTTTAGAAACTGGGAGTAATGCCCACACCCTTAAGACTGAATCCCATTAACAATACCCAAGAAAGAATGTTTGAAAAGACAAAGCAGGGCTGTGGTATCTATACATCCCAAAGCTATGCTATCCCTGGGTACTGAGATGCTTTTTTCCAGCCCTAGTCAGAGCCCAGTCAAGATTCTCCTTACTACTTACACAGGTTGAGGGCAATAATGGGGGTGGATACCTCAGCATAGTAGCTGAGGATGCCCCCTGGTGCCCTGGGCCTCCTGGCTGAGCAGTGGGCAGGGAAGGGAAGCCTGCCAGGAAAAGACAGATGGGGTCTGTTCTCTAGTCCCTGACATTAGCATGTTAATGGTCTGGCTGTCTGCTCAATCCCAGCAGGCCTACCACTGGGGATTGTGGCAATGAAGCTGAGTCACATCCTAATGAGATCAGGATGATACCAAGCAGTCTTCTTTACCATTTGGGGGGTGGAGATGGGGGTTGAGGGTGGGGTGAATAGGAAACCTAAGAGATATAACTAGAAATATAAGCAAAGAACAAGAAGCCAGAGTTGCTGATGTCCTCCCCCTTGAACAAATTAATATTTTTCCTCCTAACACATACACTTCCACTGTAGTCACAAAGTTTCCACTATGCATTCAAAGTCAGGTCCCACAGTCACACCCAGAGCTTACAGTCTAGACATTCAGAGGCTCTAAAGAAAAAGTGTAAGTAATTACATGCCAGGCACTGAACACAAAATGATTCTGTGAACTAGCTATTACCCCATTTTATAGATGAAAAAATTAAGGCAAGGGGAAACCTGTCTAATATCATAAAGGCATAGAACACTAATATGTCTGACTCCAAAGCCTGTACCTTTTTTCTCTAGTATGCTATCTTCTAAAGCCAAGAGCTTATAGGAGCTTAGGACTCCTGGGGTTCTCACATGATTGTGTTATTTCTATTTTGGCTCAAACATCCCATCCAGATCATGATCTTTGATTACCTTTGCATCTAGATATGCTTTCTGGATTTCCCAGTAGGCCCAGTCAACAACCACTTTGAGAAGAAGTCATGTCCCCAAGTCATCAACCTTTGTTGCTCATCAGGTTACACTTTCCTTTCATACTTAATGTCAGATATCAGGAAACAAGAACAAAAGTCTCATTTCTATCTCCAGTTTGCCATATGATCTTAAAGCAGGATGTTTCCCTCTCTGAGCCTTAGCTTCCTTTCTATCCAATTTAAAGGTGTGTCTTACATCACATTTTGCTCAAGTTCTATCATTCTATTAATTAGGTTACAACATTATTTTGCAAAAACTGCTAAAAAATTAATCCCTTTTTCCACCTACTTCTTGCTGACTTGGGTAATTAGGAACATGTTTAAAAAAATTAATGGGGCCATGTGTAGTAGTGCATGCCTGTAATCCTAGCTACTCAGAAGGATCACAGGTTCAAAGCCAGTCTGGGAAACTTAGTGAAACCCTATCTCAAAATAAAATGGGCTAGTGGTATGCTTGCCTATCATGTATATGGTTCTTGGTTCAATGGTTCAATCCCCAGTACCACAAAAAAAAGAAACAAAGAAGGAAAGAGAAAGGGAGAAAAAGAGAGAGAATGAGAGAAAAACTGAAAAAATACATGAGGTGAGGGGAGGAAAGATCAAAAGGTTTCCAGGACTGAGGGCTAGTTGAGTCCCTTACTCTAAGTCAATAGACAACAAAATGTCAGCAAGTTCTAGATGGAGAAATATGAATGCTTATGTTGAAATGTGAACTGGCTTTTTAAATTTTCTTTTTAGTTATAGATGGACATAATATCTTTCTTTCTCTCTTTCTCTCTCTGAGGATTGAACCCAGTACCTCACACAGCTACTGAGCTACAACCCCAGCTCTGAACTGGCTTTTTTTTTTGCAAAAGATGGAGAAGATGGTTATGAACAAGGAAAAAAAAGTTGGGAGGAGGTGTTACTGGAGATTGAACCCTAGGGCACTTTAACACTAAGGTACATTCCCAGTCCTTATTGATTACTTTTGTTTTTTGAGACAAGGCTTCACTAAATTGCTGAGGCTGTCCTCAAATGTGGGATCTTCTTGTCTCAGCCTCCTGAGTTACTGGGATTATAGGTCTGCACACCATGCCTGGCAGGAAAGAATTTTTAAAGCGTGTCTTATCCTAAATCTAACATAAGGTCCAATTAACAGTTCTACTAATTTTCCACAGGATTGTAGATAAACAGTGTGTCTGATTACAAGTGTGCATGGGGTGGGGGAGAAGCAAGTTCCAAGAAACAATCCAGTCCCAAGAGAAAGAAAGACACACTGATAATGCTAAACATAGGATGAAGCATTAAAGCTAGGATGCTAGGTCATGAAGGAATGGAGCAAACTGGCAAAAGAACTAGTAGAGCAGCTGGGGGCGAGGTGCATGTCTGTAATCCCAGCGTCTTGGGAGGCTGAGGCAGGAGGATTGAGAGTTCAAAGTCAGCCTCAGCAATGGTGAGGCGTTAAGCAACTCAGTGAGACCCTGTCTCTAAATAAAATACAAAATAGGGTTGGAAATGTGGCTCAGTGGTCGAGTGCTCCTGAGTTCAATCACTGGTTCAAAAAAAAAAAAAAAAAAGAAAGAAAAGAAAAGAAAAAGAACTAGTAGAGCAGTAACTGGCCTTTGCCAATTACCAATAGGCCAGCTGCAGAGGCTCGGAGAACCCAGGACTAAAGGTAAATAAGACAGGAACAGACTATATAGACAGTCTTGGAGGTCCTGGGAGTGAGTTCCTTACCCCTTTTTGCACTACATTGTCTGTTTCACTAGTGGGATGGGTAGAGATATGATGAGAAGAAGAGGATCATGATGACCCAAGTAGTTCTGGGATAAGGAGTAGTTATGAAAAGTTAGACAAATTGCTAAAGCAATGTCTAGAGAAATATTTCAGGATCACTGGGGGCATTTTTATCTGAGCACTGTCTGTTTCTTCATGAACATAGAAAAATCAGAAATATCAATTTTCCATTTCCTCAGGCTCTAGGGGTTGGAAATATGAGAAATCTCTCTCAGTCAGTACTGAAGTTCCAAAGGAAGTGAGGATGGGGGTGGGGCGGAGGAAACATGGTCTGAAGTTAGAATTAATACTGAAAAAGAACAAAGGACAAAACAGATGACCCCAACCACAGGCCATAAGGCAATCTCCAATTAAGGTCCATGCAGTTCGGGCATTTGGTCAGGCAACTCTTGTCCCCATTTCCAATTCCCAGGACATGGAGGTAGGGCTAAGCTTTGCTCACTTCCAGCTTTGCTTCCAGCTGAGACCTCCACTCCAAAAGGGAGGGGGGACCTCATTTTCATGTGAAAGGGAAGTATCTATTCCTGGTTCCAGGAATAATCTCTGTGGATCCAGTTACTAGAGTCTTTATTATACTACTCTGAGAAATGACTCCATCCCAAGAGGGCAAAAATCTTTCTTGGTTCCCTTTTGACTCCAGAAAGACAGTTCATCTGACCTGAACCAGTATATCTTAAACCTGCCATGGGAGAAATCTTTAAGCAGCAGAAAATAAGCAAATGCATACACCCAGGGTCAGGAGTGGGGGTGATTCATAGGGTGAGAAGATAGGAGACGGGAGATGGTTGCAAGCCATCCAAAATTTCTTTGAAGCTTCAGGTTAGTCTTTGCATTTGTGCAAATTTTACATTCTACTTCTTAAATAATGATTTTTAAATTATTATAAGTAAAATGAATGCTCCCAGATATGTACTAAATCACATTTATCCCATAGCTTTATGCCCCTCCTCAAATCTGCCACTTACTCCTAGAGGGATTAGGACATCAGTTTGTAAGACACTGGCTTAAGAAACTGGAGGCTATGGATTCTATTCAGCCCCACAACACAAATCCCTAAAACAGGCTGTGGAGACTGATAGGGTTCAAGCAGCATAAACTGGAAAACTGAAGTCCAGGAAGTAGAAGAGATCTGCCTTTGAGAAAATCCTTACTAATTACCAGGAGCTTCTGGAAGTAAGAAAATAACACCCCCCCCACTACCCTTAAATCTCTTGTGCATGTGGAGGCTGCATACATCTGAGGTCTATGGGGGGACATATCAGGTCAGTTCCGGAGCCCAGTGCCTCCTTCTTTGTACCCGCCATGCATCTGAATAAACAAACCAGTGATGACGTCTCAGCCACTTCAGAAGCCCAGTGCAGGATCAGGAA